AGCCTACTCCATGCTAGGCACAAGGAAATCAATCCATAATGAAACCATGCATGGTTTGTGTTCTAATATTGCTTAAGGTCTCACATGGAAAGTAGTCATTAAACATAATGAGATGAGAGTTATGTCATGGAAAGTATAAAGTGATGTGGGATCAAATGTCAGGGTAACCATACTTAATTTAGAAGTCAGTGGAGGTTCCCCAAGGAGGTACCACTGAAGGTAAACTCTGAAGAATAAGTAGGTGTTAGTTGTGGTAACAGGAGAGTGGGGAGGAAGGAGGAGGTAAGAGAGTGGTGGAAAAAATGTTCCAGTGATAGAGTTACATGGAAAATACAGGGTACTAAGAAAAGAAACAGCCTTTCCTTGTTATAGTATAAGATATTGGGAACAGATATCTTTGTTGAATATATTCTGTTGGCTGCCTGTACTACCAAGGAAAATATTCACAAAGTTCCCATAACCCTTTGTTAATAACTAAATTTAGGTGACTTTCTTTTCATAGGTGCTGTTGCAACTGAAGGAATAAAGAGGCATCTTGAAGGAGAAAGAGAATCTAGATATCAGAAAACTAGTTTTATCTTGACTTTTGCTTACAACCTCGACCAAATGACTTACACCTGTACCTCTGCTTTTTCATTTGTAAAAGGGAGATGATAATATTATCCAGTTTAACTTGCAGAGTAGAATCAAATAAGATAATGGTGCCAAAAGTAAAAAGCACCACTTTGTGCTTAATGGTCTTTTTTTTATAGCCATTTTGAGCATATTAAACAGTTTCTTGATTTCTGACAGTTATCTATATCAGTAGCAACTCAAATTCATTTTTCTTATGATTTCTAGTTATAGCAATAGGGGCTGCTTTTCCAATTCTACAATAATTAAAAAGCCCTCTTCACTACCCTTGAAGAGGAACAGAATTGGATCATGTCTCTTTTCAAAAGACCCACTTGTTCAAAGTAAAAATATTACTATTTTCTATTCCAGTAGAAAAACTGGAAAATCTAGTTATTTTTCAATCATCAAAAACCAGAATTCACTTCTGCTCTAATTGTTTCAGTTCCTTTATTTTTTATGGCAAAACTTTTCTGATCAGTCCTTTCTTATTTTTCTACTTAAACTTATTATCTGATTTCCCAGGCATGAATATATCGACAAACACAGCAATATAAATGCAAAGAAATTATACTGAAATATAATCACTACATAATTAATAATTAAGATCTTAGGTATTTTAAAAAAAACACCTTCTAGGGGTTCCACGTTGAGTGTCTGACTTGATTTCAGCTCAGGTCATGATCTCATGCTTTGTGAGATCAAGCCCCACATTAGGCTCTGCACTGAGAGCATGGAGCCTGCTTGGGATTCTCTCTCTCCACTTCTGTTTCTCTGTCCCTCCCCTGTTTGAGCTCCCTCTCTCTCAAAATAAATAAATCGACATTAAAAAAAAAAAAAAAGTTAAGAGGCACCTGGGTGGCTCAGTCGGTTAAGCATCTGACTCTTGATTTTTGGCTCAGGTCATGATCTCATGATTCCTGAGTTCAAACCACACATCAGGCTCTGTGCTTGACAGCATGGATCCTAATTGGGATTCTCTCTCTCCCTCTCTCTCTTGGCCATTCCCTGTCTCATGCTTGCTCTCTCTCTCTCTCTCTCTCTCTCTCTCAAAATAAATAAATAAACATTTTTTAAAAGTTAAAAAACACAAAAAAACCTTCCAGTGTCATATTAGTTTCTTATGTAATAAGGCAGACTCATGAAGTAAAACATTGTTAGTTTATGAATTGATTTTTCCAAAAATTTACTTATCCCTGAAAACATTTTACTTATAATTAAGTATATAGGTGTCAACTATTTCTCTCACAAATATTAAATTTTTCTATATGTTTCTGTAGCCACAATTAGGAATACAACTTCCCATTCATCAAAATAAAAGGAAAAGCTCATTCTAAAATATTTTACAAATATTGAGAACTATAAAAGTACTACTTTACAGAGATTAAGAGTGAGCTTTCAGTTCTGAACATCACATCCCTTTTTGTTTAAAATCTTTCTCTTTTTTCTTTGGTAAACAATTAGATTTCAAAACATGGGAGCTCTAATAAAGATGTCTAATTTTAAAGTCCTGTTCAAATCTTAAAAAAAATTCTATTACAGATTTCAGACACCTTAAAGAAAGTTTGACAATTTTATTGCATTAATTATTTCTGTAATGTGTGGAGAAGATTTTAAAAGCTATTTGAAAGAAGAAAATAGTTCATGGATAACTGGTTTCTTTAGAGATGGTGGGAAGCTCTCAAAATGCATATTTAGGAATCCCATTTAGTTGATGTCCAACTTAATTCTAATCTCTGTTAGTATATGTTTGAAGGAAATAGACTTCATGGAATTATGCAGTCAGATCAGTGAGCACTTGTTCCTGCATTTGGTACAGTGCAAAGGTCTCTGCAAGAGGAATTAAGAATGTGGGGTTCAAGTCTCAACTCTGCCACCTGCTCTCCATATCACTTAAGCCACTTAAGAAAGTCACTTCCCCTCTGAACATCAGTTTCTTATTCATAAAATGGAGATCATGATGCCTTTCTGGTAACTTTGTTATTAGGAATAAGTGATATCACATATATACAGAAAGAAATCACAAAATTTTTCATGAGCTCAAAGATTGCCATGAGAGAGTCCACAAAGAATAGTTTAATATGTATTTTGTGTTCTTGTTCTTGTTTCCTTTCATATGTATATGTGCTAAATCCTCCATTAGGTTATAAGCTCCTTATAGCCACAGTGAGCATACCATATCCTCTTTCCATGTTGCTCTTCAGATTATGCATAACTAATGGACACTCATAAGGCTTTGTTGACAGATATTCTCTCTCTTATCCCTCAGTTCCAATATCAAGCAAATAGTTACCCCTGTGAGAAAGTCTCCTTTCACCTATTCTATGTCTAAACCTCTTTGCTGTAATCCATGCCCATTTCCACATATTCTATCCTCTAAACTCATGGAGAATTGGCAGGTCAGCATGGACTTAACAAAAGCCTTTATCACTGTTACCAAACTCTTTTCAGCTGCAAGACGGAATACTAGGTTCTCAAGTTAAATCGACTCATCCTAAAACCCAAAACAAGTGGAATTAACTACTTTAACCCCAGGAAAAAAGGCAGAGTACTGGCTGGCTCATTAAAGATTTCTAGAGCCAAAGAATTCTATAGGAAAGCACAACGAAGCCCGCCTGGGCAACTGAGAGGAACAAAGTACAGTGGCATAAAATGGCTAGAGGAAATATGGACAGAGAAGAAAGGCAGGACAGGGATAAAAGCACCAGCGAACTTACAGTGTTCCCAGGGCACCGATATTCCCTTAGAAGAATGAGGAGATGCTCTGGTCTATTCTGATGCTTAAACAAAAGTCTTTACTTAACAAGTAAGTTAGCATTAGCTCCTAATAAAACACTTTTAAAAGCTGAAGGGATGGTGAGGAAGGGATGGCTATCTCCCAGTCTCCCTCCTTGGATCCTATCAATGTGCATACCTGGTCTCCCCTCAGCTCATAGTCTTTCTATATTCTTTTCATGAGGTTTTAAATAATTGGGCCCAGTTCAACGCACCTTTTAGGTTTAAGAGCAGAGTATTTTTAACCAAAGCCACCTCGCCCATTCTTTACCAATATGATGTGACTTTCATTAAACAGCCCGACGAGGGCTCGCGCAATCCTCCGACTCGCGTAAACACGTGTGCCCCAAGCCAGCTCCCGATCGCCCTGCGCTTCAGCACTGCCGCCTCTGGATAGCGCCTTGCTGGCAGGCTGGCTCGGGCCTCCCACCCGTCTCTCATCCATCTCCAGCCCACTCTCTCTCCTCTTCTCGTTTACTTCAGTGCCAGAGAAAAAGCACCTCCAACTTCTAACCTCTACTCTATGCCTGCTTTTAAAGTGACCTCCGCGTCCCTCCCTCAGGGTCTAAATGCGCACGTCCCCGCGCCGTTGGGTCCTACCGGAGCAGCAGCGAAGCCGCGTCCACCAGTGGCCCGAGATCTCCAACAGGCACTGACCACATTTCCCTTGCCCCTGCTGAATCCCAAAGCAGCAGCCAGGAGCCCCTGCTCGCTCCCTTTCTCTCCACGCCCCAAAACCTCCAAGAAACAAACGCGCAACGATGCGCGCTCCCCCCGCCCCAACTCGCGCGCGCACACACACTCACACTCATACACACACTCGCACGCCGCAAGCCTTCCGGGTGCCATCGCCGCCCTGGGCAGAGCCTCAGCCAACTTGGGCCCGGATCCATCAACACCCGCTGCCTCGAAAAGGGCTGCCCGCAGCGGCCGCCCCGCCCCCTCCCCTTCCTAGGCAGTGGGTCCCGGCAGCCAAGCCCTGGCTGGCGAGCCCCCACCCCTTTCACTCAGCCATCCACCTCGCGCGGGCAATATACGGTCCACAACCCTCACACATTCGCCCCTGGGCCGCCCTGAACCATTAGCCAAACCCTAAATTAATCTCCCCGGAGCCCCAGCCCTGCTAATGGTGTGTTGTGTGTCAGTGTGTTTGTGTCTCCAAGGCATGTACATCATTTAACTCCTGCGAGCTTTCCATCCATCCTAAACAAACAGCACGTTATCTCCAACCCCCTCCTTCCTTCTCCGCGTCCCAATCTCTGCCCCCACCCCGATCCTCACCCGCCAAGTGACCAAACTACCACACCACCGCACCCCAGTTCTGGAACCTCGATCTTCCACCGGGTCTAAACCCAGTCACCTCCGGCCCCTCCCCTCCCCCACCCCTTTGGCCCCCAGCGTGCCGGGTCTGGCCCGAGCAAGTGACGCCTGGGAAGCGCAGTCTACGTCCCTTCCAGGAGCCCGAAATAGAGGGGCTGACCTCCCACCAGAGGGATCAGCCGGCGCATCCCGCCGAGGGGCACACGCCTTACTGTTGGGTCGCCCTGGAAAATACAGGTGCCGGGGAAGGAGAGAGGCGGAAGCAGCCTCCGGGGGTGGGCGGGAGGACTCACCGAACATCTGAATGTGCCCTTTGGTGATGGGATTGAAGCTGCCGCAGGCAAGCAAGATAACGTGGGTCTTGGTGGTCTCCGTCATCTTGCGGGTGGGTCCCTCGCGCTGGTCCAGGGGTCGCCTCTTTTTTTGTGTCTCGATATGTCTGCAGAGGGAGAAAGGAAGGCGAGGCTCCGGCGGTGGATGCTGTGGACTCCAAGGAGCCGCTCCAGACGCAAACCGCGTCACTCCCCGCCTCCCCTTAACGCTTGCAGCTCCGGCCAGATCCGAAGCTGCTTTTGTATTGCTCTGCTCCGTCCTTCTCTTTTCTTTTTGTGTTGTCCTTTTCCAGGTCTCTGGTCCTGGTCTCCCGCCCCTCCCTTTCCTCGCCCCCACCCACCTCACTCCATCACGCTCTTCCCTAGTGTTTCTGCAGGTAAGACGTGGTACCCACGCCCAGAACCATGAATACTCACAGCATGGTGAGTATTCTTTCTCTTACCTCCTTCTGACTTTTCCTCCCACACGCTAACATTTTCCTGTCCACATCTACTTTCTCTAACATTTCCAACTCCAAAAGTGTTTGATCTTAAGAATTGGGATTTTTTTTCTTCCTCGATTTTTTAAGTGAGAAATGACAATTGTTCATGTCAGGAATACTGATTTCTGTCTTTCTTTTTCCCCTTATCTGATGATTTTGAACTGTTGAACTGAATCTGAAATCCTGAATCCTTCCCCTAGAATGATGGACTTTTGGGGGGGGGGGGTTGAAGCAATGCTGAAAACATGGATGGGGCAGAGTGACTAAAGTTGTATTAGAAAACTACTGTGATCTTACATAAGTCACCAAAGTTGAGACAAAGATTTACCCATCCAACAAGTGTTTCTTGAGTGCTCACTATGTTTGGGGCACTGTTATAAACCCTACTGGAAGGAGATAGACAATACACAGAAGAGGAAAATTTTTTTTCATGTTTATTTGTTTTTGAGAGACAGACAGCATGAGTGGGGGAGGGGCAGAGAGAGAGAAAGAGAGAGAGAGAAAGAGGGAATCTGAAACAGGCTCCAGGTTCTGAGCTGTCAGCACAGAGCCTGACACAGGGCTCGAACTCTGAACAACAACATCATGACCTGAACCGAAGTCGTGTGCTTCACTGCCTGAGCCACCCAGGCACCCCAGGAGGAAAATATTAAATGCCAATTGTGCAATGCACAATAAGTGAATGCCATTCACTCTGACAAAACAAAAGGTGAATGGAAGAGTGGGGACCACTTCAAATCCAGGAGTCAGGAAAGGCCTCCCTGGGCAGGTGAAATTTAAACTGCAGCCTAAAGGACAAGTACCTGTTAGTACATATATTTTGGGACAAAGAAAGGTCTTTTTGTGCTCATAGATGTGAAAGAAGGCCAGTGTGACTAGAGTTCATGAATAAGGGGAAAATGCTAGGAGACAAGATTGGACTGTTGATCAGGACAGAATCGAATGGGACTTCAGGGCTAGGATAGGGTTGGGATGCTTTTCTAAGTGGAATAACTTAGGAATGAGAAAAGGAAACCACTGAAACTTTAAGCAGAGGAGTGATGAGTAATTTACATTTTTATAAGATCACTCTGGCTGGCAGTTGAAAAGTAGGAGGGCAAGGCCAGCATTTAGGAAATTCTGCTGGTGGCCTCGGCTAAGTAGAGTTGTCCTTGGACTAGGATTTATAAAGGTGAAGTTGGTGAGAAGCAGATGGTCTCACAACAACAAGTTTTGTTGATAGTTTATGGTCTTTGCATATGGATTGGATGTGTGGGATGAGGAAAAGAGAAATCTAAGAAAATGTCTAGAAATTTGGGGTAAGCAAAGGAGTGGGCTGAGATTGAGAAAGTGGGGAAAGAAACTTTGGGGGATAACTAAGTGTTCCATTGTGATACAATAGATAGACCTAATAATTCTTATTTTTTAATGGCCTTTTAAAAAGTTGAGGTATAATTGACATACTACATTGTATTAATTTTAGATGTCCATAATAATTCTGAATTTAGAGTTCCACAAGTACAAATATTTACCTTTCCTAGGCTTCTAGATTTCTTGAATAAATTGCTACCCTATATTACTGGTTGATTGTTGTTTCTTATCCAAGATCACATAAATATTTGTGCAGTAAATATTTGCTAAATTATGCTGAATTGCAAATCAACCCTAATGTGCACAAAATTTCTAGTTCAGATACAAAAGTCCTACAAGTTGATGTACATTTATAATGGGGTTAGTATCTTTCCTGGCATGGGATGCAGATTAGTGGAGTAAAAAGAACAAGAGATATTGAAGGGAAGCTGACTTGGGTATGAAACTCTGACACTAGCTGGGCAATTAGCATAATTATAGTTAAGCTATAAATATTTATGGAGTGTCTGCCCTGTGCCAGGCACTTGTTTTAGGGACTGTGAACAAAACAAAGTCCCTACTTTAATAGAGCTCACATTCTAGAGGGGAAAACACACCATAAAAAAAAAAAAAAGAATAAATATAATGGCAATAGATACAATGAAGAATAAAGCAGGGTAAGAAGAAAAGGAAAGGAAAATCCTCCTTTCTATGAGGCGGTCAGGGACGGCATCTCTGTTAAGATGGTATTTGAGCAGGGATGTGAAGCAAGTGAAGGAATATGTCATTTGGAGAAGAATATACCCGGCAGAATAGCAAATACAAAGACCCTGAAGGAGCAGGAATGGTTGGGATTGTTCAGCAAGCATGCCTGTATTGCTTAAGAAAAGAAAGAAAGTGAAAAGTGGTAGGAGACACATCAGAAAAATAGAACAGACATATAGATAGGGCCTCATAGCTATGATTAGGGCTTTGATTTTTTCAGAGATAGGAAGTCACTGGAGGGTTTTGAGTGGGGAAGTGACATGAGCTAACTTACACTGGAAAAGTATCAGCTTGGCAGGAGATACAAATTCTGGAGTCATCAGTATAGCTTAATATTTAAAACCATAGGATTAAATGAGGTCATCTAGGGAGTAACAGATATCTAAATGAGAAAAGAGTCCATCAGCTTCAGCCCTGGGGCACACCAAATTAATAGTAGCTAACATCCCTTGAGTATCACTAAGAAGCCCAGGCACCATAAGCTGGTTACAGATGTTAATTCATTTGACACTCAAAGTAACTCTGATTGTGAGTTCATATAAGTCTAATAAGTTCATGTAATTTACCCCATTTTAAAGATGAGCATAAGGGAGAACAGAGAAATGAAACAACTCTTCCAAGTTTAGACAACGAGTATGTATGCAGCCAGATTCCAACTCTAGTAGTTTTTGATTGAAGGCCCTGCTCTTGATCCAATGCTACTATCTCATCGTGTTTCACTGCTACCCTATACTAACCACATTCCTAAAAATGAGAATAACGATACCAAGCCACCGAGATTTGAGGATTCCTGGTAATGGATGTAGACTATGTAGCATATAGTAGATGATCAATAAGTGATACCTATTTAATAAATGAGAGAGTGGGACTTCTTAGCAGAGATTTGAAGAACAGATTGAGAAGTGCTCTACCACGTCTTTAGGTTTTCCCTTCTTTATCCAGGAGAAATGAAAAAGTAGACAACAAAATTCTGTGTTAGCCTGCTGGAATGACTAGACACTCAATGCTACAAGTTGATTTTATTAATTTTATTTTTTTAATTTCATGCTTTTTTTTTTAAAGTTCATTTATTTATTTTTGGAAGAGAGAGAGAGCATGAGCAGGGGAGGGGCACAGAGAGAGGGAGAGAGAATCCCAGGCAGGCTCTGCAGTGTCAGCATGGAGCCCAATGTGGGCCTTGAATTCATGAACTGTAAAATCATAACCTGAACCCAAACCAAGAGTCAGATGCTTAATCAACCGAGCCACCCAGGTGCCCCTACAGGTTAATTTTAGTAAAAAGAAAGAAAACATATCCAACTCAGAATCTCCACACATAATAGTGGTCAGTAAATATTTACTGATGAATTAAGATAAAAAAATCTTTTCACCAGCCCAGTGCCCAGAGAGTAACAATGAAACAGGAGTGTGTCAATACAATGCAATAAATGTTTTCAATTTTGTAGGTTATGTCTTAATAGTTTAAATGCTATAGATTAGTTTAAATGCTATCGATTAGATTAATTGGTTATGATTTTTTTTTAACATTTATTATTGAGAGACACAGAGCATGAGCAGGGGAGGGGTACAGAGAGGGGGAGACACAGAATCTGAAGTAGGCTCCAGGCTCTGAGCTGTCAGCACAGAGCCCGATGCTAGGCTTAAACTCACAAACTGCGAGATCATGACCTGAGCTGAAGTTGGTCGCTTAACCAACTGAGCCACCCAGGCGCTCCTAATTGGTTGTTATTCTAATTGTCTCTTGTCATTTTCCTTATGCTTATATCTAACTTCTGCATCCCCAAAGAAGGCTCTGGAATTGGAATACAAAAACATGGATAGGGGTACCTGGGTGGCTCCATCAGTACAGCATGAGACCCTTGATCTCAGGGTAGTGAGTTTGAGCCCCAGGTTGGGCATGGAGTCTACTTAAAAATAAATAAATAAGTAAAAATTTAAAAATAAAAAAAATAAATTAAAACATGGAGAGCAAATCCTGGTTCTGCCATTTGTTAATTGTTTGGCTTTGGGCGAGTCATTTATTGCTGACTTTATTTTGTCAACTGGAAATACTATAAAACATGCCATGTGTACTTTACAGGGGTGCAATATGGATCAAATAACACCATGTGTGACTTACTGACTTTTTAAAAAGCATACTGTCATCTTTAGGTCATACTCTATAGTTGTTCCATACAAAACACCTATCGTTTTTTCAGTGTTTAGTTGTTTCTATGGGTGGCTTTGTCAAGGAGGTTTCTGAAAGTTCTGATCACAGAGGGTAATAGCTTTGGAAATGTGCCAATAGTGTATATATTAACCAATAAAAACAAATAGCCAAAAACATACTGACAATGAATTTATTTTCAGGGAAGATTCCAAGGCTGGTTTATAAGATATAGAAATGGGAATGTCAACTCTTGCATAATACATGTACCTTAATATATGTAGTGATCTATTCTCAGGAGTGCTTATTTTAACTTAGGTAATA